AAACGTTTAAATTGTATAGTAATGATAGTATAGTAAGGATTGAAAATTTAAAACAAGGTTTCACGTAAGTATTGATTCTGTAACGAAAAAATCTAAAAACTATATATAATACACAGTTTTTTGAAGTTATTTTAAGTTCAAATTTGGATGGAATTACATATTAAATAACCAAAGAATAATAAGTTTAGTTATATTGTTGACTGTTGCAATTTAAAAATATTATTCGTGGGTACTTGAAATTTCTAAAGTAAACTTTATATTCTAATTATAATAGCTAATGATGTTAATGATTGAGTGAGTCGGGTACATAATGAATTTAATTTGATTAATTTGGAATTTATTWTATAGGTACCTACTTCTTTTTTTTGAGATAATAACAATATAATTAATATTTCATAAACCTATAAAATATCCTAGACTGACAAACCGTTTCCGCTCAGAATCGTTTTTCATATGCAATGATATTATATCATTGAATTCAAATTTAATACCACACATTATAGCAACCCACTTGTTAACTATACTGTACAGCTGAGCGACATCCACTTACTTACCAGCTTATTTTATATTTAAAAGTTCAATCGATGACAGACGTCGAGTATACGTCTAGTAAGTTGTAGATAGTAATAGGTAGGCAACTATATRATAACTTTTAAGTATAGTCTACTGGAGCTACCTTAAATATTTATATTTAAGTTGGTAGCAACTATGAATATAATTGGATATACCGTAAAATGGGGGTGAATTGCAACGATTTTTGAGTTTTACCCAACWTTGATCTTCATTTAAAAATCATACATTTATAATACCGTTAAGGAAAACACTTTTTTAGAATTGTTGTTACCTTGTTTATATAAACAATAAATACCTAATAAATTGATCTTATAATGATATCATTATAAGTACAATTCAGAAATATAATTTATACACTTTTTTATTACATATATCTTATGACTTCGGGTGAATTGCAAACCTTTGACTAGGGCGAATTTAAACATTAGATAAAATATCATGTTTTATTCATTTAAAACAATTCATGGGTGAATTGAAACACTAAAACGAGTAAATTGATAAGCGYGAAGAAAATATTTTACTTTGGAGGTAGAAATAATCTGATCAAGGTGTTTTTTTTAATAGATAACATTTATCACAATGAATTATCTATCTTTTCAAAGGTTAGGTTAGGTTAGGTTTGTTTCAATTCAACCCATTTTATGGTACCCGTTAGTCAGGTAGTGTCCAATAATATCTAATACTTGGATATCAAGCTACAAAATCAAATCACACTTGCGTTAGACTTGGCTATGATTTTACACTCACACAAACATTACTTTATATTAATAAAATTAGGTAGGCTTACATCTAAGCAAAATGGATTAATATTTKAAATTAAATACGCCTTTTTATAGAAATTTAATTGAATTTGATAATTTTTGGTCTCTCCAAAACAATAATACTTACAGTTATTTTGAAGATCATATAATGATATTTTTTTCAATTGATTAATTATTTTGTTAAAAAAAAGTTACAATGTTGTGGAGCTGAGAAATTGGATGACTGGTATCCCATACTTGAAAACCAATTACCTATGTCTTGTTGTGGATCATATGATGGAGCAATAGATCATCAAAATTGTTCAGCATCTGAACCAACTGTTTACCGGCAACCATGCTATGTGTCATTATCAAAAATTGTAAAAGAAAATGCCAGTACATTAAGTGGTGTAACCATAGGATTAGCATTTTTGCAGGTTTGATAAATATTATTTATCAACAAATATAAGAAAATATTAATATTCGACTTAACATAATTTTTTCTAGTTGGTGGGTATCATGCTGTCATGTTCATTGTCAAAGTCTATACAAAAAAGTTATAAACAGGTTTAAAATTATATGTACCTTTGAAACAATAATGCAAATCTGGCATCTGTTTTTCAATTATTACATCGTTTTTTTTTTATACAAATATAAAGAGATTAATAATAGTATATCATATATTAGGAGATTTTATATTTATCTGCCAATAATATAAACTTTATTAATATATGTAAATGTGTTGTACATATAAATAAGTTAAAAGTTATAAATATCAAGCAGTAATGATAATATATATTTTTTTAATAACAGCTCATAATTATTAACTTTTCATTATAAATGGTTTTGTATAAGATTGATATTTGAATTTTATGTAATTATAATCATATTAATCACTATTGTAATTTTTATAATATAAGTCGTAATAAATTACTATTTGCATAGATGTGGAATTTTGAATGATATTTCAGGTGGTTATAATAGTTTTAATTTATAAGACATGTACTGATTCTTGTTATATTATTGATACTAAATTATAAACTAAAATTATGAAAAATTACATATTACAATCAAATAAAATATTTCATTTTCACCAAAAACATTTAGCTTTATGTAATATATCACAGCTTTCAGTATACTTTTCTCCACCTTTTAAATAAGGCGGTGTGAATTCTCTGTAAGCAATACATAATCTTCTTTCTTGAATATCTTCTCTGAGTATACAATGTTCCCACAAATATCTAGGTTTTCCATATAAAACTAAAAGTGATCTCCTTGGCATTAATACTCGCACAACATCAATTGGATAATTTACATGATTTACTGGAATTGGCAAGCATTTGACATTAGGTATATAGTCTATATTGTATTGATTACTATACTTGATGTTATGTGGAGTTAAAGTAAGTACAGTATCAGATTGTAAGCTTAATGTTATAATTCTTTCGCCCCAAATCCAGCAATCGTCTACATGAGGATCAATTGATGCACCCATTTCTGGTCTGTATTCCAATGAACACTGTTCTATTGTAAAATAATTCTTTAAAATTGGAATTTGATCAAAACGATCTTGAACAAATTTTGTTGATACCGGAAAACCATTGAAATTGCCCATTGATAAACGACGCTTTTTAAAGTTACACTTGGGTCCAAAGTTCTAAAAATATATTTTTATATTTTATTTTATTTAACAATAGTAAATTCAAAATGTATTTACTTGTTTTCTACGACCACTTTGTGATACATCCCAAGGCATAGTATCTAAATTCTTTATTAGTATTGTTTCTTCTGTGTCAGTGATAAATTCATGTTCAATGAAAATGCCATCTAAATAGTATGATGTACCTGTATGATTTGGATGGTTTTTATATTCATATGCATTCCAGCCACTCCATAGTAAATTGCAGTAAGAACAATATGATGCATTTGATAATTTCTAAAAATCAGACTATGTAATAAATATAATATTTAAAAAAATGTGTATAGTAACTAACTTTTAAACTTTCAGAATTGATGGTAGGGGTTAAATTGAATTTTTTTTCACATACAAAACAAGTTCTAACTCCTTTACATCCGCATAGTTTTGATCTGTCCATCTATAACATTAAAACAAACATAATTATAAAAATATTTATTCTATTGTATTTTGCAATAACTTTTGAACATACATTTGGTAAATTAATTAAATACAAATAGTAAATTTTAGTATCTGATACATAATTACTATTCCATTAATAACAATATAATTATCATCAAATCAGTAGTTGTATATGCAATAATTGTCTATTGCATTGTAGCACCAATAACCACCATTTTACGTATTTTTATTTCATTACAATTTGCAGAGAAAATTAAATTAAAAACTTTATTTTATCAGTAATTTAAAATTTGGTCTTGTTTGAAAAATATTAAATTATTATGTGATAGTTATAGTTACAATGGATATAAACACATTGGATATAATGCCCTTTATAGAATATACACATGTGACAAAACATTGAAAATTGTGTCTAAAATGAAAACATAATAACTACTACCTAGATAAAAAAATTATTGTATATTTACATAATATTATAAAAATAAAAATAAAACAGATATTGTTTGAAAACAAATAGATACTAAAAGCATATAATATAGTGTTTAAAGATGAATTCATTATTTATTATACATTAATACATTAAGAGTTCAGACTCAGAAAATGTTATAACTATTAACATATTTCATTTCATATATTAAATAAAATAACAAAAAAATAATTTAATACAATTTATTTATCCTAGATTTTCTAAACTAATTACTAATTTAATGCATTAATAAGCTAATAATAATACAAAAAATATATAAATTAGAAAAGATACAGGCAGTTACGGTTTCTTATAAAAATATTAAACTCTTAACTCATACATATTGTTTCCTTTTTTAATTATAATTGCTTCATTGTTCAATAAGTCTAAAATGTTGTAGAAATCTAAAGTGGCAATGTTTAATTGTTTTGAAAATAATTTCATTTGATCCATGCTAAACATTCGTTGTGTTTTACCGAATCTTTGTAACTCAGCTAATAATTTTCTCGATTGAGCTCGAATTCCTGTTTTTTTTACACTTTTCTTGAATCCAAATCCACTAAATTCATCGCATTGAGTTTTAACAAGACTAAAATTAAGCAGCTCAATTATTTCATATGCATCTTTTGCAGTCACTTCTTCTCTAAGTTCTACTTTAGCACGTGCTTGTGCAAGTCTAATACATGACTCTAATTGCCTTACAGTTATTGGAATACCATAACTTAAATTGTTAGTACGCAGTTCAATAAAAAATTGTTGCAACATTTCTTTGGCTTCAATTGACAGAGTTGGAGACGAAACATATTTTCTCGCATATGCAATATATTTACGTAATTCTGCTTGAGAAATATAGTCATTGTTTTTACTAAATTGTGATAATCTCTCTTTCAATGAACCATGAATTTCACAAGAATTATCAATATCCTGGGTTTGCTTCACCTTATTTATATGTATACTAAGCACATGTTCAGTTAAATGCCTATCAATCAATTCATCCGGTGTATCTATAAGTAGAAAAATTAAATCAAAACGAGATAACATCGCTTGACTCATTTTTAAATTATCTAATACGCTTTTATCTCGGGCATAATGTCCGCCAATTGGATTTGCAGCAGCCATTATAGTAGTACGGCAAGGTAAAGAACAAATAACTCCACCTTTTGCAATGCTTATTGTTTGTTGTTCCATAGCTTCTAGTAACGTATTATGATCTTGAGTCATTTTATCAAATTCATCAATACAACACACACCTTGATCAGCTAAAACGACAGCTCCAGCTTCTAAAGAAAAATCAATTCCCTTCTCTCGAGTCAAACTAACAGTTAGTCCAGCTGATGAACATGTACTTCCACAAACAAATACACCACGTGGTGAAATRTTGCACACGGATTGAAGCATTTGTGATTTKCCAAGACCAKGATCACCAATGACTAAAATATGTATATCTCCACGTGTTTGATTTAAAGAACAATTACTTCCTCCAAATAGTGAAAGCAACATACCAGCTTTTACCATTTCGTGACCATAAATACCTGGACATAAAGAATTTACCATTAATTCAAAGAGATGTGGTTTTGAATGGAGTTTTTGTATACAATAATAATCCCTCATTGTAAATTGAAATGCAGTACTTGTAATCTTTCCTTTAGACTGGTTTTTATTATTTTGTATAGATATAACTTCAACATATTGCATAAAAATGTTAGATTCTTTACTTTGAGTGTTTTGTTTACATGATTTTTTTTTCACAATACCAGTTACAGTAACAACATCTCCAGGWATACAAGWATATACTAAATCATTTGTAAGTTCACATTCAACAGTTCTGGGTACTCTACCACTYTCTCTCTGATCATCACTTTGTAATTCTTGAACTCTAACAGTTTGACAATTAATAGTTTGAGTAAGAGGTGAATTTCTACAAATAGAAAATGAACGAACACGACATGCAGCATTGCTACATTGTTTAGGTTTTGAAAAAACACCATCAGGTTGTTTGATACTTTGAATTGAGCCACAGATATTGCACGAAAATCCCAACCACAAACACTGAAATTTCAAACTGCTGGCTTTTATTACAGTTCCATGAACTAAAATCAGTTTTCCATCTGTATCAGCTCTTAAGTTTTTTAAATGAAAAATTGGACCAAAATTTATGATTCTAGGATGAATTATTGGCAAATTTTTGAACTTAGTACTGTCATCATGAATATTTTTATTTAATTCTTCCAATGCATACTGATGAATAGCAAGTCCTAAACATTGCAATGTATAATTTGGGCGATTAGTTARATCATCCCAAAATTGTGACCACACTGAGGTGAAATCTTCATCTTGRTTTAAWGAATCAACATTTAGAAGATATGATTTATTTTCTACAAGTTGCTCAATAGAAATATTTTGTTCATGTATATTTAAAAATGATACACAAGCCAAAATACACTTCACTGTTATACTATTTTCATCAAATTTTTCATTTGGAAAATAAAGCTGCCAACCATGAAATGGACATTCTTGAAAATGTTCTTTATTAATATTTATATCAGATTCAATACTTTTAGTACTTTTTGGTTGATTATTTATACTTCTATATTTTTTCCAATATCCGCCACCTCTCCATTTATTTTGATTAGGATAACTCATAACAGTATTCCACAAAATAAACTGAAAGTAATCAAAATTKTATTTTATTACAAATCATCATAAATATGAACACATAGTAGAAATTAGGTATCTTACAACAAATATCAAATTAAATACAATCACCAAATAGGTAATATAAATTAATAATGAAAATATATATCTAGTATACAAAAAAAATTAATTTAAACTTATAATAATGTACATTTTAATTGACAATTAAAAATGCCAACCATTTATATCAATAAATATTAAATAATAYATTAGACAATTTAAACGATTTTATAAACATTGCGCACATCATATTATAATAGCATTTAATTGAATAGGTACACTTACTTTGGAATCAAATGGCACAAATTAAATGTATATATTGCTGTTTAGAAAAAATATAATTTAGGAAATTAATTTGACATTAAAATATCTAAATAAGCAAACTAGTAACTAGCATATAGAATGCTTGAGTCTTGTTGTATATCTACATTATGCCATTATTGTTATTTATTYGGTATCTACCAGTAGCAAAAATATTTAATGTTCTATAAAAATTAATCTGAAAAATGATTAAATAAACAAAACCTACCATATAATGATGGCTTTTCTCTGATATCTAGTGGCTGGTACCTACTATTAAATATGAATTATGAATCRAGTAATAAACTAATAACTGACAGTCGACAGACTGTGTCGGTAGTATCGGTATAAATATGTAATAATATGTTGTAATCTACACTCAACAGTCAACACAGTCAACAGTCAACAGTAAAAAATTATGCCATTATCATATTTATGAGTTCAGTCAAGGTGTATTTATCACGTATGTATTAAATACACCTTGAGTTCAGTGTATTCCTTAGATCATATATATATATATATTATATCGTATATTATGATCTAACTATCTAAGGTGTATTCAAAGTTTCAAAAAATTTCATGAATAAAATAAATAGGATAYTATTTTGGTGATAAAAAATATTCAAGTSATTTTTCCATGATAAGTAGCGCTATGAAAACTTCAAAACATTGATAATAAATTATTTATTTCCTAATGGCTAATACCTTTTCCATGCTTATTCCAATAATGAGTTGCATCGAAATTGTAATTGTAATTGTATAAACATAAAAATATAAATATTGAATTATGTCTTATGTCTATGCATTCAGCATTTACGACTTTATTCCGCCGCAGAGCAGTTATACTGCGGTACAATAGTCAATAGATTATAGCAAGTAGCAAATAGAAATCAAGGTATAACGACAAACAGCAAGTACACCACAAATTATATTACAAATTTTATATAATCTGAGCTAACACTATATTATGTAAATGTTGAGTACACAAACAAATATTTTGTAATCAGCCATGTTTAAATAAAAATATCTTTAACTGCAAAAATTAAAAAATATAATTGTAATAAGTAWGTAAACACAAATTAAAAATGTATTTACATAGATTACATAATCTTGTTTATTTATAATGCATCACAGGTTGTAATAATTAATAATTAATATTGAAGTTTTTTTTAAATGGTTTTTAATAGTAAAAATTATAAGACTAAGGACAATTTAAGATGTCTTTAGCTGAAGAATTACTTGCTGATTTAGAAGAAGATGGCTATGATGATGGTGAGCCAATGGTGATACAAGAAGAAACTCTTAATGAACTGCAAGATAATGCTTTGATTCCAAAACAAAATGGTATTTTTTATCTAATATATTATTTACATTTAATACAGACATTTTTGAATCCTTTTGTAGATTTTAAAAATGCCAAAATCCGTGATCTTGCAAAGTTACGGGATTCAGAGCGTTTAGTGAATATAATGCGACAGATTGATATATTTCAAAGTAGACAAAGAAGAACTGAAGAAGAATTAGGACCTGTTGAGTCTGATCCTGAATATATTTTAATTGTGGATGCAAACAATTTGATTGTAGAGATTGATGATGAAATTTGTATGTTATTTGAAAATTTGATGTATTGATAAACATATATAATAATTAATTAATATAATTTTTTCAGTAATCATTCATAAATTTGTTCGGGATAAATATTCAAAACGATTTCCAGAGTTAGAGTCCTTAGTTGTTGGCCCATTAGAATATGTGCAGACAGTTAAAGAACTAGGCAATACTCTTGAACAGTCTAAAAATAATGAAGTACTTCCAACATTTCTTACTCAAGCTACTATTATGGTTGTTTCTGTAACTGCATCAACTACACAAGGGTAAAACTAAAAACTTAAAGTTGTTATTTAAAGCTATAACAAACTGGCCTAATTTACATAATCACATTTATTAGTAAATTCTTTACAAATTGCTAAGTTTATTTATGTGAAAAACAATATATATTTCTGGAGTAATTCTTTATCTTGAGCAAGTTATCTCTGTATATTTATTATTTGTACAATTTATACATAATTTTAAATCTTAAACTATTTAATATTTATATAGATTATTAATCATTAAGGTTGTTTTTATTCGGCCTAAATTTTATGTAATTTTTAATTAACTTTTGTATTTCAGACAACTTTTAAATGACAATGAACTATTTGAAGTCCGTGAAGCTTGTGACATGGCTATTGACCTTAATAAATTAAAATTGAAAGTTTATGAATATGTAGAGAGTAGAATGACATACATAGCGCCTAACCTTTCTGTTATTGTTGGTGCATCAACAGCTGCTAAAATTATGGGTAATTTATTTCATACATTTTTTTTTTTTAGATCAGTAACATATGTGTTAATATTTTTCCAGGTGTAGCTGGAGGTTTGACAAATTTATCAAAGATGCCCGCATGTAATGTTTTATTATTAGGTTCTCAAAAAAAGCTTTTATCTGGTTTTTCACAAGTCAATGCAATGCCACACACTGGTTTTATTTTTCATTGTTCTTTAGTACAAAATAATCCACCAGTAAGAAATAGTTTTTAAATTATACATTCAATTTAACAAAGTTGTACTTAATTAAAATGATTGTTCYTTATAGGATTTACGGAGAAAAGCAGCTAGGCTTGTTGCTACTAAAAGTACATTAGCTGCAAGAGTTGATGCTGCTCATGAGAGTCTTGATGGACATATAGGAATGACATTGAAAGAAGATATTGAAAAAAAATTGGACAAATTAACGGTTGTCATGTTATATTTTTATTTATTTGTTTTAAATTATAAATAATAAATAATTTAAAATGTATAGGAACCACCTCCAGTTAAATTTATCAAGCCTCTACCTAAGCCAATAGACCCTGGTCGAAAGAAGCGAGGCGGTAAAAGAGTACGCAAAATGAAAGAACGTTATGCTGTTACAGAGCTACGTAAACAAGCAAACAGAATGAATTTTGCAGATGTAAATACTACAAAAATTTGTTTGAAACAATTATTTTTAACTACATTTATTACATTATATATTTTAATTAAATTAAGATTGAAGATGACGCATATCAAGAAGACTTAGGATATACTCGAGGGACCATTGGAAAGTCAGGAACTGGTAGAATTCGACATGCACAAGTTGATGAAAAAACCAAAGTGCGAATTTCAAAGACACTTCAAAAAAATTTACAAAAACAGCAAGCATGGGGTGGTGCTACATCAGTTAAAAAACAAGTATCGGGTACTGCTTCTAGTGTGGCCTTCACTCCTCTTCAAGTAAGATATTTTTAAAATAACCATTACAAATTTAGTAGAGATAACATTTGATAGGATTGATTTAAACTATATTTTTAAATGTTTATTGTCCATCATTAACACAGTATGAATTTTTTAAATAAGCATTAACACTTATTTATAAAAACTATACTACTTTAGTTACTTCTAGTTTTTAAATGTCTCTTCTTTTTTTATTCAGTATGACTATAGAAAATTTAGTTAATATTTGTTATGTTTTACTTTGAATAGTACTGGGTGATTTATTTCATATTAATGTGTATTTATACTAAATGTTAATTTACTAAAAATTTCTTGCTTATTAAATCATCTTCAATGAATTCAATTAATGTTAAAATATTATTGASATTAAAAAAAAATAATTTAYGTTTGTTAGAATAAATAGTTAATTTTAATTTTTTGTTTTTATATTTTAGGGATTAGAAATAGTGAACCCACAAGCAGCTGAAACAAAAAACTCTAGCATAAATTCAGCTAGATATTTTTCCAATACTGCAAGTTTTGTTAATGTACATAATAAACATTAATATAACCTAAAAAGTGTCATTTTATGTATGAAAAAAATTACTATTATTATTTTTTAAATAAATTATCTCTTAAATGTGAAAATATTAAATAATTTTGATTCTAATAAACAATGTTCTACATGCAAAGGTTAAGAAGATGTTTTACTGATAACCTGTTTTTGATTAGATAAACAAATGTCAATGTTAACTTGTAGTAAAGCAAATAAGTTATTTTTCAACAGTTTTAAATTATCCACGGACTGTTAATATAATTCAACATAAAATATTTATGTTTGCTAATATTATTGTTCACCTATAAAAGTTTAGATAACCATGAATTGTTTACATTCTAGTCATCTAAGACATGTTAAGTTTCTGAAGTATATACGTCTATCTCTAAGAAAAWGCAGTAGTTTTTTAATTAATGACAGTAAATATTCATTTCTCAAAGAACTTGGTTTAAATGAAGAAAACGTAGGTGTCTATGACGGCCAATGGAACGCAAATGGAAATGTTAGTATAACATAAGTGTTTTAGCATTRTTTAAATATCTATAAATTACTCTACAGATAACTACATCGTTTTGTCCAGCAAATGGTCTACCAATAGCTTCAGTTCGTAATGGTAATGAAGAAGATTACGATAGATGTGTGTCAAATGSTCTTGAAGCTTGGAAGGTATGGTCTGATATACCTGCTCCAAAACGTGGTGAAATCGTTAGGCAAATTGGCAGTGCATTTAGACAAAAATTAGAACCACTTGGAAAATTGGTATCATTGGAAATGGGTAAAAATAATTGTCATTGGATAGAATTGGCTAGATTTAATTATTTAATATTTACTTATACGGTTAAATATATTACGACGTTATAGGTAAAATTTTGGGAGAAGGTATTGGTGAAGTTCAAGAGTATATTGATATTTGTGATTATGCTGTTGGTTTGTCAAGGATGTTTAATGGTTCAATATTTCCTTCTGAAAGACCAAATCACATTATGTTGGAGCAATGGAATCCATTAGGACTTATAGGAATTATTAGTGCATTTAACTTTCCTGTTGCAGTTTATGGTTGGAATAGTGCTATATCCATGGTATTTTTTATTTGAAGTTGAAAGTTTTTTTTTAAACTTCAATTTAAATAAAAATAAATTGTTATAAATTATAGGTATGTGGTAATGTTGTAATATGGAAAGGAGCGCCAACTACTTCTCTTACTTCAATTGCAACTACAAAAATATTAGCTTCAGTCCTAGAAAAAAACAATGTTCCAGGAGCTGTTTTATCTTTATGTACTGGTGATGTTGATATTGGGGTGTCAATGGTTAACGACAAACGGGTGAATTTGGTTTCATTTACTGGAAGTAGTTCTGTTGGCCAAAAAGTTGGTGACAAATTTAATTTTGTTAGTTTTGGGGCTATTTATTTTTATTTATTATTGTAAATATATTAATTTAGGTTGGTGTAGAAGTGCAAAAACGATTTGGTCGTGTGTTATTAGAATTAGGCGGTAATAATGCTATTATTGTTACTCCTGATGCTAATCTTGAAATGGTATCACAATCTGTGGTTTTTGCATGCTGTGGAACAGCTGGGCAAAGATGTACCACTACTAGAAGATTAATTTTGCATAAATCGATTTACAATACAGTTTTAGTAAACTTAGTTAAGGCATATTCTAATGTTTTAAAAAGATTAGGAGATCCACTTGATATAACTACTCTTTATGGTCCTATGCATTCATTAACAGCTGTTGAAAATTTTAAGCAAACAATATCTGAGGCTATTGAGGCTGGAGGACAAATTGAATTTGGAGGAAAAGTAATTTTTTTTTTTATTAAGTTTTAGATGTCTTTATATTAGTTAACACCAAGAACACCTAATAGAAAYTTAACTGTTAACATTATAATGATATAATATAGTTTTAAAAATTCAATTTTAAATATAGGTTTTGGATAGAGCTGGTTATTTTGTTGAACCTACCATTATATCAGGTTTGAAGTATGATTCACCTGTGGTGTGTCGTGAAACATTTGCTCCTATTGTTTATGTATTAAAGTATGATACTTTGGATGAAGCTATTGCGTGGAATAATAGTGTAGATCAAGGATTATCATCTAGTATCTTTACTAATGATATTGGAACGGTATTCAAAGTATGTTGAATATATCTGTATTAAAATACATGTTTATAACTAAATCTGAGGACTTTTGGTTCTTATAAATCTGAAAATATGTGTGTACTTATTAGTCTTAAGTAGTTTACTTTTTAAAAGTATTAAAATTATGTTACTTGTTGCATTAAATATTTTTATTTAAATTATATTTGCATTACTTGAGATAATTTTTGTCATATTACGTTATTTTTTCATTTAAAAAATTGGGGATTACAAATAATGCATAATAATATTTCAGCTACATTAACATGCATTGAAATGRGTGGTAAAAGGGAGTACAAAAATATATACATTTAAAAGAATTTACAAATTTTTGCCATTATTTACATTATATACTTTATTTACTTTTAATACATTTTTTCCATACAGTATTGTTAAAACATTTTTTTTTTTTTTAATTACAAAATTCACAAGATTAGTGATTAACATCAACTATTTTGGAATTTTAATTTACAAATCATTTGTTTTTAATACTATTTAATTTTCATAATTTATTCAAACTTACACTTTTTTTACTTAAGGTAAGTTGAACAAAAGTTAAAGGTTGTGTAAATTATAAAAATTAACGCATTTAAAATTTACTTATTTTGATTTTATTATTTAATTAATATAAATTTTAGAGATAGGCATGACATTAAACATCTGGATTTGAATCAAACTCTTATCCGGATTTATGGATTTTKCTATTTTTATGTGACTTTAGGTTTACAATTATTTTTAATGTATAGCAAAATAAATTATTTTATTTTATTTTAATGAATATTTATCAATAAATTAATTTTTAATTTTTATGATATCATTGAACAGCAAAATCAAGTTGAATATTCCGGATAATCCGTATATGTCCACCACTAATAAATGTTTTCCCTATGTCTTCTGATGTCATAATATCAAAAATAAAAATAGTATTTTTATTATTGTCTCGACTATAAAATGGATTGACCATTGGTCAACATTTTTTTTTATTTGGTTATTTATAAATTTACACTTKCTCTAACTTAGTCAATTAAAATATTACATTTCTGTTCAAAAAATTGTAAAGAAGGGGTTAACATTTAAAATTTTTTTTTAAATGTGTATTTTTAGCTTTCTTGCTTTTACCTACTAAAAACCTCATTACATTCAATGGTCATTCATCTGAAATAATTAGTGATATATTATATAAATAATGATACCTCTCAGCATAAACGTTTTGTATGTTTTAATAATTTAATAAGAGTTAAAACCAGTGACGTGGCGAACTTTATTAAGTTATGAGGCACAGTTATATTGTTAGACCCACCACCCACCYCACCCATCACAAAAAACATTAAAAAAWTTTTTTAAGATAAAATATATTTACTCATTTAAATAATAATGCTTTTTTAACACATCAGATGATTTTTGAGGACACCCAYCACCCCTCAAATTGAGGCACGTGCCTCAAATATAGTTCTTCGTCACGCCACTGGTTAAAACTATTAAATTTTAGCTGTGATTTATTAATTGTATTTATTTATTTAGTGGACTGGCCACAAAGGATCAGATTGTGGTATTGTTAATGTTAATATACCAACAAACGGAGCAGAAATTGGTGGTGCATTTGGTGGTGAAAAGCATACTGGAGGTGGAAGAGAGTCTGGTTCAGATTCTTGGAAACAGTACATGAGAAGATCAACTATTACAATTAATCATGGATTTGGAYTAACATTGGCTCAAGGCATTAAATTTGAATAATATAATTGAAAATTGAAAATTTTTTACTAAAAATATTGAAGGTTACTTATTTCTATTTTTTTATAGTTAATTTGCGGTAACCAAGATAATATTAWTTTTATTGATGTTTATCATAATATGTAATTTCAATCATAGATTAATTTGTTATTGTTTATACTAAATGCATTCMAAATTTTTACATATCTTTTTTCAAAGTGTTTATTTCAGGAATAAGCATATTGCATATAATATTTTAAAAACAAACTCATGCGAGACTAATCTCAACTTACAAAAGTTATTCAAATTGAGCTTTATAATAAAGCATAATAAATAATAACCATTCTGTTGATTAAGTGTTTTAGTTATTAAGTAGATAAACCTTGCAATCTCCTTAATTTAATGAATTGTCTTCAGTTTTTAATGTTTTACATTTTTTATTAAAATATATCAATATTCCGTGGTGTAATATAATTTGTAATTTTTTTAGTTCTTATTCAGTTGTTTTTAGTATAGAACAGTGGTATCTAAAAAATGTRTCAGATTTATAACTTATTTGTTTTACTGATTTTAAATATTATTAAGTATTGTTWTATTAACTTTTGTGTTGATACCGTCTTCCGTAGAACTGAACGAAGTATTTATGGTATATAATAAATCAATAGCTTAAAATGTCTTGAAAATATTATCATGTATATAAAATATATTAAGATGCTAATTTCAAGTACTACAAATAATATTTTTTAATTTCATTGTTGATATAATTAAAGTATGTTAAGATCATTTTAAAAATGGTCATGCATCATGCTTCTTAATAAAAATATCAAAAAATGCCTCCAAGATGGCTTAAATAATAATCACAATTTTAAATTTTATTATAGGTCAATTCTCTCTTATCTTAGAAATTACAGAGTGAAAGTATTATTGTTAACATAAAATTTGCCATGTTTCATGTTTGTAACATAGGCTACACAGAGATAACACATATGCATACCCATGCATGGGTGGTATGGCGCCCTCTTAAATATCTAATTTCGCCCAATTTTATACTTCAAAGTTCAAATGCATACAAAAAAAAATTTGCGTGTAACATAATCTTAAATGACATTGTACATACCTTTAATATTTTTAAATAGCTTTAATATCAAGTTATAAGGAACATTTTAATAAATCTTTATTGACATATATTGAAAAACATTAAAACTTTAAAATGTTTATAAAAATGAAGAGCTAACCCCCTCCCCACATCACTACCAACCAAAAAAACCAAAGACTAAAGTACCAACTATTTAATTATCAATGTTAACTAACAGAAGATTGAAAATAGTTGTAAATATAAGCATTTTAACTGTTCCAAAAGGTGATATGGTACAAAAAGGAAAAAGAAGAACCTTTAAAAAAACACACACATGCGTCATTATAGTCAATGAAGTAATGAAGTACTAATATAACAAAAAAGTGGGCAAGTGAATACCACTCCTGGAGCTCTGTAGTATATATATTAGATGTCATGTGGGYCATTGTAATGTATGTGTTAAATTTAAGTTCAATTTCAATGATATGTAAACCATTAAAGTGACATAGGGATTTGTCCGGAGGGTGGGATAAAGATGGAAATTTCTTTACACACAATATAGAAAATTGTTAAGTATAGCAGTGAGTGGTAGCTGGGGATACATATATTATAAAGGCTTTGGTGTGATAAATTCTCCTTATTAATCATGACCTGGGCCATTGTATACAAAAAACAATTCTAAACGATGACAGACTTTCTACATTACTATATAAGTATAACATTAATGGTTTATTGCTACCTACTAAGTAGTTTATAATGTTTATATTAACATTAGATACCTTGTTAAATTAATTTTTTTCGAACCATTTAATCTATTATATTATGCCTACTTTTAAGGATTTCATGTACCAAATAGGTAATTAGGAATTAGAATAATAATTATTTTATATTATTCGTTTAAAATTTAAATATTTAATTTCATTCAAATTTGAACTTAAAATGTCTATAAATAAACTGTGTGAACATATTTTTCAGAGATTTGGGTTACAATAATAACTACTTACAAAATGCTCAATCCTTAGTTATAAAATTGATCATTACATTTACATACATGTTTAACTATAGTAAATAATTTGCAGTTTTTTATAATTTAGATGAATTTTGTCAAAATGTTAACTTTCAATGTTATTAAAGAAAAAAAAAATTGGTTTGCAGCTTACATCTTATTAAAAAAAAAAAAACCAATATTTTCTTAATAATGATAAAACTACGAAAATTATAAAATGTATTTTTTAACATTTTGGCTCTTGATATCATTGTTTTTATCCATGTGGATCGTGAACATATCCATTTTGGCCACTATTATATATAAATTTCTCAAAACATCAAATTATTTTTAAAATGTTGTCATATATATAATATAAACAATTTTAATATTAACATTTGTTGAACATTTAAAGTGTCTGTGATTATTCATTTTYGAATAACGACTAAACATCAATAATTAATTAGATATTTAATATCCAATTTCGTACATTTATAAAATTCAAGTGCTCATAAAATTTAAATATTACTTTTCGCTTAATTTTTTTTTTTGTGTTAAAGGTGTATAAACTTATAAGGAATCTTCCGTCACATTTTTTATTGTAATATCTTGAGTTTTTATTTCATAATATGCACATTTTATTAATAATTCAAAATAAATGTTAAATTTAATAATTTTGATTATTATGTGGAGCAAGTGTTTAATATGTATTTTGAGAATGGAATGGGTGTAGCTDAAGCGATATGCGCTCACATGAAAGCAAAATATTATTGAATSAAAATTGTTGGGAGACHTTAGCAAATGGCTCAAAAAATCCAAAWAAAGAAACTGTGGCATATTTACACAAAAAATGGCAAAAAAAGAACTTTGGTTATATAAACAACCCATTGGAAAAATTAAAAGAAAAGACTCAATCATATGCTGAAAAAGGTAAAATATTTGTTCACGTTTATACATAGATAAATTTAATTAATATTAACTTCATGTATTAACTAATACTCTTGTGAGATTTAACTATACCATATTACCATTTAAATTTGATGAAAAAATGAATGGGTTTTAATGTTTATATGTGATATTATAACAAGAGGAAACAATTCCATTAACTATGCTGAAGCATGCATACGAATATTGAAAGAAATTACTTTTAAATAGAACTAAGAYATATAATTTAGTGGCTCTTGTGTTGAATTAATTTGTTATGGGAAGACTATTTAATTCTTAGAATACTAAATCATGCACATAATCGTCGGGATAATATTSAACAAAATTATGCTAAACTTTGTTCTCGAACATTAAATTTTAATATTGATCAAGTAACTTTAATGAGTGAAGCATGTTACTCAGTGCCAAGTTCTAATACTGAGAATTCAGTTTATACTACTGATATTCAAATCAGTGTTTGCGATTGTTACGTTGGGTATACTGGTGCATTTTGCAAACACCAAGCCTTTTTACACAAACATTTAAATTTATCTTTATCGAATGCACCACCTATAACTGTCACTGAAAGATATGCACTTGGACAACTTGCAMTTATGGCGACAAGTGCTCTTCTCAGTCGTCAGTCATCATTGTTCCTGGGTTTAAAATAAAATGAAAGTGTTATTCATTTCAAGAAGGTGAACTTAATAACATTGATAATGTGAACCATGCTAGTAATCATATTGAGTCCTTTCCTATATCTAAAAAAATTTCAAATAAAAATGACACCAGTACTCTTCAATCATAAGCTGATGATAAAGTTGCAAGTAACAAGGCAAATTATGTACTTGAAAAAAAGTTTTTAAGAATAAAAGAGTTTTTAAATAATGTGCCATTATAGATATACGTTAAAAATTGACAAAAAATTTAAATGTGATAAAAAATGCACAACAATTGACAAAATTAATGATGACATTATGTTGCTGAAGACTAAGTGTTGCAACTAAAATAAAGAGACAAATAAAGGTTCAACCAACTTCAATTGCTCGTCCAAGACAAGGTGTAACTCGAGGATCACAACGAATTCCAGCTAGAAGACCTCCGACATCAGCTCCTCAAAATAAAGTCACAAAAAAAAAAACACTACATAGGAAAAAAACATTAATATAATATGACAATCAAATGTGAAATCCCACGGTAAAGGTCACTGAAAATTTTTTGTTTTTTTCAACGTTTGTACGTTATAGTTCTTTTTAAATAAAATAAATATTTTATGTCTTCATTATGAAATCATGAAGTTTAGATTGAAATTACTCTACATGACTACATTATATTATTAAGTTAATAGTTGTAGATAAGTACTATTTGTTAAATAAAACAAAACTGAGTTCAAAGTTGATATCTTATCCAATTATAAGAAAATTGAATAATGAATGGTATATTTTATAATACCTAACTATATTATTATAAACTATGTAGGAACCTGGAACGCCTATGATGTATAAAGTATTAGTATTATCATTTATCAGTTTGGTAAAATTTTTGAATTTTGTTATTACCTACATTTTTATTTATTTAGGAAGTCATGTTTACATTTAGGACAATTAAATCAAATTCAGAACTCAACTGATGTGCCATGTGGTTCTTACGATTGTTTTCCAGCCTTTTCACCCCTAATTACTGTGTATAGATAACAATTTAACATGTGAGAGGCTTCATCATAGTAAAACATAAATACTTTAAAATATATTCACAGTTTTAAATGTTAGTAAATGTATTTACATATTTTCAATGATCGTGTAACCCACCTACCTCTGACTATGAAGGTTAGGTAAGRTTTAGTTTTTTTTTTTTTAAATAGTAGGTAGAGTTAAAAATAATAGGCATTAGACAGGAAGCAATAACATTAGTACCTATAGGTGTAAAATAAAAATGTAAGATTATCATACCAAATRCTGGATTTATTAAGCAAAAATAGAATAGGACTACCTACATATTTATGTTCGAACGTGAACTTTTATTAAAGTAACTATTTAATTAATATTATGTTTTAGTAAAAATAAAACATTGAAGTAGGTTATTTTGTTTTTATGTTATGTATCTATACGTTAGGAAGGACCTAGACAATCTAGCTGTTTAGCTAACACTATATAAAGATGTGTACAGTCGTACAGGTATAGGTTGGTTGTAGTGGTTGTAGGAAGGTATAGGGATACTGGATAGGTATATAGGTTAATCCAGTAAGAAATATTCACTGAGGTACTGAAGTAAAAAATAAAAATAATTGTGTATTGTGTAAAGATCACATTCTAAATTAGTTTATTAAATTAATGAATTATGAATATATCATCATAATTCGTAATATTGTTAAACTATTCCTTCCTACTAAGTAGTCCTTTTTATTTGTATAAATTAAATAATATAATATAATAGGTATTTAWTATTTAAATCCTAATTGATTAATGACAAAAAAAGCTGGAAATTTGAAATGGGCCAATGAGAACAGTGAGAACACGGTATACATAAGGCGCTCTGTGGCGCCCGCGGTACGAGGTCCCAATACGCAACCCCCCCAACCCCTCCAGTCCCCCATTTAGTGACCCTGGTGTACAGTAGTAAGTTGTATAGTATGGTCTATCATCAGTAGCTGAGTAGAAAAAAAATAACATTCTTTAACATCCAACTTTCAAAATTAAAAAAAACCTATTTATGAGTGTAATATCATCTTTTATTCACTCAGCGTAAAATACATAAAGTTAAATTTATAAACGAGTTTCAGTGAAATATTATCCTCTCTATGAATTAGAGTATTTAGGCATTCAGCTAAAAAATGTCTATCTCAATCAAGGGCGCCGCGAGGGTGGTGTAAGGGGGTGCAATTGCACCCGGGGGCTTTTAAAAAAATAATTTATGATAATGAAAAGATTTTTTTTGTATAATTATCTATTAAAAACTTTGTATCCGGCGAAAAACAAAAATAACTTTGTATCGTCATATAATTTGAAAAAATATTTCTACGTATAAAATAATTTAAACATTATTTAGAAATCAAAGTATACTATGCACGATACACCCCCCTCACAAAATTCTTGGTGGGCGCTATGGCGCTATGATCTTAATTTATTTTTCGTATTTTTGGAATATTATCCTTTCTATACTCAAYTGTTTCATTATCATATATTCCGATTTTTAATTTATTAATTGTTTAAAAATATGATTTGCATATACACCATAGTGTTCCGATACCTGTATGGACTGGATGACTGGACTATTTTTAATGCAAAAAGGGGAATCTAATATTAACACAACCATGGCATRCACATATGTAAACAAATAATAAAACGTATTATAATTTCATTATATTTTTAAATAAGCGCTCTTTATTGAAACTACAGACTAAACAAAATCAACCAGATCGCTTATAAGTTATAAGTTTAACTACCTATTACATTGCTTTCCATAATTCCATTAGTATATATTCGCTATTCGGTTAAAATGGTTGACAGGTGAAAACTTACTTCTGTTTAACTAATAACTAGCATGATATAAATAATGATTTAGAACTTACATTAACAGAGGAAACATTAAAAAGGATCATTTTTAAATTTCCAAACAATTCWTTTTTATTATTAACTATATCACGTATCCAGCAAATGTAAAAAACTTGGCATCACATAATTATTAGTATAATATAACACATTCGTTAAAATTTTTTAGACATTCTCTCGTTTAATTCAATATAATATGAATACCACTTTACAAAAATAACGGTATGAAGTATAAAGTTTGTAATACTGTCAATACTGATTCGAAGTCTTCGAAATGCTTGAAATGCTAATACATTGTGATACTGATATATAGTTTTTCGACCCATTTTGCAAGTRTTGCAGTGTTGCTTTAAACTTCTATTAAATAATAATCTTATGAACAGACATAAGCGTCACAGTCTCACAGAAAAAAATGATTGTGGTTTGGATATTTTGAATAAATATCGGTGATTTACTACTGGATATTGGGTTTTGTTTATTTAGTTTGTTCAGTATTTGAAATGTTCTATAATAATATAATGTTATAGTTAAGCTACTATTTGAATATATAAGCTCAGTAACAAAATGATATACAATAATACCTACTTAACTATATTTAGTATTTTTTACTTAATGTTCAGTGACCCGGGTTCTACAATAGTTATAATAATGTATACGATTATACATAGGTACTAATATGATATGAACAGAGATCAGAGTGCCAGACCCAGACGGCCAGACGAGGGATGTCATTTTGCGGTCTATTTTTTTATAGAATAATCGTTGAAAGCGTATTGGCGGGACCGAGTAAAAATAACTCAATCTAGGCACGCACCGGAACGAATGCAGAACAATATATCGACGGTAAAAAAACGTTTGGAGATTTCGTGCAAACGTCAGCACTGTGTACCCACCTTCTATTTTCACTCCCACCTATCGTCGGCAACGAACCTCTCTCGGCAATCGTTTTAATCTCTTTATCTATGGAAAATTCCAAAATTCCAATACACCTCCCCTCCCACCGATCAACCCGTTGATTTTCCGCCACCGCCGCCGCCGCTCAACAACAACAATAATAATAATAATAATAATAATAATAATAATAATAATAGTAATAACAGTAGTAATAGTAATAATAGTAATAAATAAATTAAATTAGTCCGATTAGCGTTTCCGTGTGCCAAACCGCGGTGGTTTTCCGTGACAGCAACACTCGACTGGACGCGCGCGCGCAACGGTCGTTCGAGCGTCCCCGAATTCCGATCGGTGTACGTACGCTTATAACATTATATCGTTTTCCGTTAATTGAATGTCGTCGGTCGCCGTGTGTCTATGATGCCCACGAGAACCGAAAACGGCATCGCCAGACATCAAATACTGGCCGCCGTGGACGTCAGCGTCGGAGAACGCCAATGGAACTTGGTGCCATCCTGATCTATTAGGCGGACTCGTTCGCCAGGTCCACCGCAACAAAAGTGCTTCCCGAGTGTTTTGTTAATTCGTTAAATAGTATTAATTATTATATGATATATTGCTCTTTTTTTTTTTTTCAATTTTTACCTACCGTCGGTACCTAGTTGTGTTATATTATGTATTTGTTTTGTTTCTGTGCTTAGACTTATGTGATTTGTAATACAAATATTAGCGAGGTTGTGAATTTTTAGTTAGTATGTGTTCAGTAAAGTGATATGTCGGTGCGTTTGTCCAGCGGGTGTCTGCCCGCTAATGGTGAGAAACCACCTCCACCCTCATCAGATAAGATCGATTCCAATGGTCAACAGAACAATTTGCAGGACCATCAGCAACTACAGCAACAACCTAGAAGTAATAGTATGGACTATTTGAACTTCGAGGAGAAAAGACAAATAATTGCGTCTTCCTTGTCATTAACGGATTTCTTACACACTAGTGGTACAGCKACTACTCCAACATCACCAACTACTGGAAAGTTTATAATTGGTGAGCAAATTAATAAAATGCACTTCCTTATATCTTTTCTTTAAAATCTTGAAATGTATATCTATGTACATATATCTATCAGTTAACAGTAACTTATATTTAGTAGGTAGGTTCCTATGTTATAATTGAGGTTATAATGATTGGTGGTTTATTTCATTGATGTTTATCAATTTATTATTTTATTCAAGAACAAAATCTTTTTCGTTTGGGTACCTATGCATATTCATTTTTTCTTAAAAAAAACAACAGAATTTTCATAATTATCTACATTATTTTGTGCCTAGGTAGGAGCCTACTCGAAATTATTTTTTATTTTTTTACCAGAAAAAAACTAGAATTGGGTGTAAACTGTTTATCACAATAGTGCCTCCAGGGCCCGTATTATTTGTTCACCAACTTGAAAGCTATACCTAGTTGGGGACCTCTAACCACCCTAAAAAGCTGGCTCCCAGAAACTACCTATTTACTCAAGTAYTTATTCAATAATTATAAGAAAATTAATCTCACGAGTATCATCAATTTAGTTGCCTGTTTAAAAAATATAAGTTATTATCCAKTACTTGATTTAGGTATATTAAAAATTGACTACTTTTTTTTTAGATTTGAATCAGGTACCTATTTCTGTAAAATTGTATTCAAGTTCTTAAAGTTCTTGTCTATTGTTTTTTCATCAGTATTACAATTTAAATTTAACCTAATATAATAGTTATCTTATCAGCCCATACATATTTATACTAATAAACATTTAACTTAAAATATTGATGCTTATKTTATAAGCTTCATTGGATGATTAATTCATGGTCAACAAATTTACATCAATTTATTTATTTGCAGTGAAGTGTAAATGTTACACAATTCTATCCACTTAAAATTTGAATTCTCTTAAAATAGGTATACATTATTATTTTGATTCTGTTTTAATAAAATAGATATCATAAAAAGTTATCTAACATAAATTAATTATTTTTTAAGTAGGTACCTACTAAAATGTTACTTACTTAAAATTATACTCATATACATTCATAAATGATGATGTGCATACCTAATGAGTATTAAACATATTTCCTATCTTTTTATTTCTATACTGAAAAGTTGGTATTTATAAGGTTCATCGTTAGGTATTTTCTGCCCAAAGCAAACATTTTAATGMCTCTCTTCTTAACTGATATTTTTGGTGAATAACCCTAGTGAYGAGCTTGCTTATAGGTAGTTATTATTAACCTTCAAGTTTTAAACTGTGCGATCTATTATAATTTTTTGTAGCTTCTTTAAATATAATTTACCATCATTTTATTTATAGTTAGTTACCTATTTAATGTTAAATATACAGTATGGTAAAATGTAGAACTAGTTCAAATATTGAAGATTTCATTATTGTGGGTGAGCTATTAATCGTGTTATTGCTATTATTATTTGATAGTTAAYACAATGTATTATTAGGTATAAGATAAGTATGATGCATGAATGAAATTTTAAATGTTGTATTTAATAATGTGATGTTTACCTATATTATTAATGTTATTAAGAGTTCAGATACATATTTTAAAAGTTTTTTATTATGACAAATCATTTTTTTTTTTTTAATTACCTAGACAAATTTTAAATTTTAACTAACTTAGGTAAAAGTTATTACCAGCAGTAAGTAAAATAAATTTAATTTTACTAATAGTTTTGTTTGTTGCATTCTTTACTTAATCTACCCTTTAGGCCTAAATGTTTTAACTTATTACAGTTCTTATTACTTAGTGCATCTTATAATGGGTAATTTAGTTTATGATTATTGTTTTAATAATAATATCTACATAGGTATTGGTTGATCCACCAGGCATGCTCCCTACCAATTTTTCATTTAATAATGAACTTATTCAAATTCTTAATTTAATTCTAATTTTTAAATATACTTACTTAAAAACCATCAAATTCTTGAGATTTTTATACCACTCAAGGACTATTCTGTTGTAATACAAACTTCTGTTTTTATTTAAAAACTGCCTTTTTCATTTCAAATTATTTAGTAACTTTATAGACATTTTGATGTACCTCACTAAATCAAAATTTTAACTTGTAGTTTTTCAGTTATTAAAATGCTTACCTATATTAAACATATAGTCCTTAAAAATGGATTTACCCACAAAAATATAAAATAGATGCAATATTGGATCTAGTATTAGGTAAATATTGTACTTGGAATTTTTTTATAAATTTTAAATATTGATAGATTACCTAATATAAATAACTATAATTTTTAAGTTACCACAGTCCCTATATTTTAAAAATTCAGTATCATAAGTCTTTTTTTTTAGATATCGAGTGAATATTTTTGAGAGGATCATGTCATTATTAAGAGTCATGGTGAGCATAGCGTAGGGAGTTTTTACACACTGATATGTTCGAGTTTATATTAATTTTCCATCGGTTTAACCAGTTTTGAAGTTCATTAAGGTCATTAGAGTCTTTAATTATGTAGATACCTATTTGTTGGAATAATGGATGTATTGTCAGCAAAGGTAGTAAAAATGGTGTTATCAAAGCACAGCATTTCGAATGTAAATATTTTGAAAAGTTTTGGAGCTAATATACTATTTTGARGAACACCTACTCTAGTGTATTAAATTTGAAAAAGTTTTTCTTTACAAAATCAGCAATTTGATTATTTGAAATACGTAGATTGGAAGAAAGCAAATTTTGTAATGGAGACCTTTGTGCCCAGTGCCGTATCTAGGCATTGGCAAGGTGGGCGGTRGCCAAGGGGCTCTAGGGACACAATTTTTATACCTTTTAAATATTAAAAATTCATTATAAATTTATAACATTGGCTGCCAATGGCATACCTAAAGCTAGTTACGGCGCTGTTCGCTTCAGACGCCGTCAAACGGCTGGGTCACATCTAGGAAATTATCTGTATAGTATAGTTTATTGTGGACCTATAATTATCCTACACAAAGTTATTAATCCAAAGACTGCTTGTTTGAATTTTAGTTTTGATACATAAACCTTTAAAGAAAAATAATCTGATAAATAATTTACGGTATGAAGATAGGGGGGTTGTCAACAAAAGTTTGTTGCCTCACTTCTAAAGTTGTACAAAAAAATTCGAGAATGTGAAAATATGGTTTTTAATAGGTTTATTTAAATATTCCATTGACCATTGTGTCATATTTTTGAATAACTGCACGACTGAAGAAGAAATATTAGGGGATGCACATGATTGGTGAATCATCTTGTATAATATATATGTATAGTCATAAAAGTGATTACTATTTATTATCATTGTTTAGTTATTGTTCTTATACTACAATGCTTCCTACTTAGTTAAATATATATATCATATGTTTATTACAGTTGCACCTGCTTTAATTATATAATTAATAAACAACATTAATTGCATTATGTTAATAATTAATTACTTGTATATAATATTAAAATCTATTTGTTTGTATTATTTTATAATTTATATCTAATGAAAAGTATTTTATTTTAATGTTGATGACCTATACACTATATTACGGTTGATATTACCTATAATATACACATCATGTTCTTGAATCATGATGTACACATTCCCTAAATATCTTTAGATATTTTTCTTATACTGTTGTAACGGTAAATTACTGTGAAAAAAAAAATAATTTGGTCATTCTATTGTTATGTTATGTGATATTGTAAGGCATTACATTTTAAAATATGCTATATGACGTAGGTACTAGGTAGGTATTCTATTATAATACAGTTCTATGTTTTTTATAACATTATTAAAGTTTTGAGTACCTATAGAGATAAAAATTAAGTTTACTTATATATAAACCTACATAATATTTATAACAAATAAGTACCTTTCTATAAATTAGCATAGTAATATAGAAATTGTGTTATCATTAAAAAAAAAAAATAATAATATACACAGTACTTATAATATTATAGTAATATGTTGTATGTGTAGTACCTACTTGAATATTATTTTGTATTTTAATTTTCAATTTATACTTTAATAGTTTTATGATATAAAAGGTTTATTTACTTCAAAAAATATATATACATATACCTAATTTTAATATGTAAAAATGTCTAAATTTTATACAAGTAAATTAAATTAATTTATTACTCGGTTTATTATTTTCTTAAAAATGTAGTTATTGTTGTTGAATAAGTACATTTAAACTATATTATGAACCTGTAAATTTTAATAATTTATTTTTAGTTGCATAACTATGAGAATATAATTATTATACATTTTATATTATCATATGATTGTCTATATTGTTTTATTATAATTTTTATTACACTTTTAGCCAAGAAGCAAAATGGTACAGCACTTCGAACTAATAGCTTAGGATCAGGAACACGTACCAGTCCATTACAATTGGATCGAAAACAACCAAGCAAGTTTTCTGCACTAGGTAAACTTTTCAAACCATGGAAATGGAAACGAAAAAAGAAATCGGAAAAATTTGAAACAACATCTAGAAGTATATTTTTAATTTTCAATTCAGCAATAATAAATTAATATTAAAATATAATATTTATAAATATTTATWTTAATAGATTTGGAAAGGAAGATCTCAGTGCGAGCAAATCGAGATGAATTAATCCAGAAAGGAATCCTGTTTTTAGATAGTCCAATGGCTCAAACACATACGATCTCTGAATCAGGTATGAATACAGTATATACAAATAAAATTATATGATTAAAACTGTCACACAATATTTGTATATATTTATTTATTTTCACTGAGTAAAAATACTACTGATTATAAAAAATGGATGGAGAATAGAGTTACTAAATTTCATGTTTATGTAATAGTCTAAACTTTAGACTCTAAAGCACATATTATTACTATATAAGTGATGGGTATCTCATTTTTATGCTTAATGTATGTACTGTATTTATTTATATTGTGCTGTTAAATATTTAGACACAAGGTAGATTATAGACAATTCACTTTTAATATAATCATCTATATTTGAGCCATTTTTTTTTTTAGTTAATACATAATAAGTACATTTTAACCAACTACTCATTTCGTTTATGTTTAGAAAACAAAGAAATAACTCCATCTATAATATAATATAGTGGTGTTAAATTATTTGAACGCCATGTGCCAAAAATTAACTATTTATTTCAAGCCTGCCATGAAAAATAGTAAATTTTATACAGGGTGTCCCATGAGGATTTACCCATAGCAATGTTTCACAAAATAATGGAGATATTAAAATTCTGGTTTTGTTATAAGACCCACAGAGATAAAAACTATAATTATTTCATTTTTTAATTTATTTTGATGTTTTTGGAAATATATTTTTTAACTTTTTTACCAACTATATTAACTATAGCCATTTTGTGGTATTTATTTTTCTGAAAATATTGACATTTAAAATTTTATTTTTAGTATTTTTTCTAGTTTTAAAGAAATAAAACATGATAATAACTTGGCACTCTTTAATCGTTCGGCTGGCTGTAGTAGAGCATGCACGCGAGACAGCATTTACATGTTTTATAAGTCACAATTTTTCTTGAAACTAAAAAAAAAACTTCAAATTAAGAAATTAACAAAAAAAAATGTTGAATCGTCTATATTTTCAGAAAAATAAATTTTACAAAATGGTTATATTGAATTTTTTTGGAAATAATTAAATAATTAAATATATTTTTTAACTTTTTTCCAAAACATTAAAATATGAAATAATTGTTGTTCTTATCCCTGTAGGTCTTATAACAGAACCAGAATTTTGGCATCCTCATCATTTCAAGAAATTTCACAATGAGTAAATTCTCGTTGGACACCTGTATAGCCAATTTTTATACATATATTGTATATTATCACGTATTAAATATATATTATGTGTAATACAAATGTTTACATTTTTTGGATGCCCTCAAAATGTTTTCACGTGCTATAGATTTGAAATCCCTGGTATAATATCTAAAATAGCGGTTCCCAACCTGTGCACCGAGGTGCACTAAGCGCACCACGAGCTCATTTAAGGGGCGCCCGCGCCATGCACGGCTCATCCGAGAATGAAAAAAAATATTAAATTATATATTAAAAATTAAAAATGTATTGTAGTTGAAAAGACAAAAAGGCGGGTAAGTCGTGGATGTCGCTCTGTTGACAAGTGGGTTACTGTAATGGATGGAATTAAATTTGAATCCAACGATATTATATCATTGTATACGAAAAACGATTCAGAGCGAAGACGGTTTATCTGTCTAGGATATATTATAGATTATGAAAAATCAAATTATAGATTTAAAATAAATTTTTTTTATGAATTTCTAGCATAAAATAATTTATGAATTTTCGTGATTTTTACATATGTTGTCAAAATTCAAACTTTGAATSCTTGTAAAAAAAAAATTGTAACTATGAATTAATTTTATTTTTCAACTGCTATTGTTAAAATGTGTTAGAAGCCTTGTATTAAATTTTCAAGCTTTTCTACCGAACAAATAAATTTGTATCGATATTTATTATTTATAGAAAAAAAAATAAAAAAGTTGAAAAATTAAAATGTCAGTAAACAGC